CCTCTCCTCTCGGTTTCTCTCTTTCTTTTTCCTCTTCTAGTTTCTACCATTATAACTCATCACAAACACACAAACACACATATAAACATCATGGCAGCCCTTATTTAACCAAGGTGGGAGTTCATAGAGCCAACTTCAACCAACCAACAACAACAAGAAGGAAGCCACAAGCTTCAAGGCCAAGAAATGAAACAAGAAAGCAAGAGTTTTGGTGAGAGATGTGTATACCTTCCAAACACAAGAGGAAACCCTAGATTTTTGGTGTGAGAAACTCCCCAAAACAGTCCCAAACAGCCGGCCCTCTCTTCTCTTCAAGATGTCCTCAAGTTCAAAGTTAAACTAGCAAGGAGTTGCAAGTTCTCTTGGTGATTTTGGATGGAAGAGCAAGAAGAACTTGGGGAGCAAGAATGAAGAAGAAATGGCCAAGGGGGGTTCGGCCAAGGAGGAAGAAAAAAGGGGGGAAAGTTGAGTGATGTGGTCTTTTGACTTTGGGGGCATTGATGTGAAAGAAGAGAGAGACACTCGATTGACATAAAGTAACCTTTCATCACGTCGGAGTCAATTCATGCGATGAGACACTACGATTCCGGTTTCTCTCACTTATATACCTCAAATACATGTCCTAACACTCGAAACTTATGTCCAAAAGTCGACCCTAGGCTCGGGTGCGAAATTTAAACATCCAATTAAAGCAATTATCAAAAAATCCAAACGTGCACAATGTACTTTGAAATTTTTTTGTGCCGATGCAATTGACTTAGTAGAATCAAATAAATTTCTAAATGAAATCAATAAAATTGATTTGAAAATTGAAATGTACATGTATATATATATAATGATAATGTGAGTCCTCACAATTTTTATGTTTATTAAATTATTTTTAATTCGTAAACGGGTTATCAGGTTATATCAAGTCACCCACGGGTTGACCCGAATTGGACCTGTTTTCTTTTCGGGTTCATCGAGTTCGACCCAATTCTGACCCGAACCCGCAAAACGTCAACCCAAACCCATTAATTTCGTATTAAATTCGCATCATGTTTTCAGGTCGTATCGGAAATTGCCACCCCTAATAAGTAGTTTAAGATTGTACTAAATTCTTAGGCATAATTTCATAGAATCATAATATGATGAATGGAAGAAAAAATGGGACAAATTCTTATAAGCAAATGCAAGAGTATATGACAATTAAACATAATTTTTAGGAAATTTTAGAGGTCTTTCAAGTTGATAAGTATGTCATTGCATACCTTCCAAGTGTGAAAAACTTTTGTCCTTTACTTTCATTTAAACTAACACATTTTCATAAAAGACTGACAGTAAAATTAATACCATTTTCTACTTTTAGCCTTTTCTTTTTAAATAACATTTTTTTAATAATAATAATTTTACTATTTTGTTTTAAGATCTTAACCCGTGCATAACACATGTCAGAGTTGAAGTATATTGTATCGTAGGAGGGGTTTTTGGGCTAGAGCTCTCATTAGACCTCAAACTCACTTTTTTCCCAGAATTTTGAATTATTTTATTCATAAAAATGCTTTTAAACGCTTTAAATGGATAATAACATAAATAAATAACTTCAAATTGGAAAGTTTGCAAATTGAAGATAGAAAGAGAATAATTCTACCCTATCATATGGTAATCCTATTTAAATGTGATAATATTACTTAATATACACTTTTAACCAAGCAAAATTAATTAGATTGAGTTTTTATACATGTCTAATATAGAGCAATTTTTAGACTAACAGGTGTAGATGCATGTCACATATGCAAAAAAATGAATTTTAAATATGAATTTAGATTATATGGTATACATCCATACTCGCTCATGTTTATACTGATAGTACACAAAAAATTTACCTAAAATTAATATACCGCTTAAAATTATAAAAAGATAGAAGTCTAACAAGAAAACATGAATATTCTTATTTTGCAAAATATTATAAGAAATAAATACATTCTTTGAATTTGGTAGTTATGATTATCGTAGGAGGGGCTTTTAGGTTAGAGTTCTCATTAAACGTCAAACTCCTCACTTTTTCAAAGAATTCTAAATTATTTTATTCATAAAAAAAGCTTTTAAACACTTGAAATGGATAATAAAATAAATAAATCACTTAAATTGGAAAAGTTTCAAATTTAAATTAGAAAGAGAATAATTCTACCATATCATATGGTAATCCTATTTAAATGTGATAATATTACTTAATATATGTTTTAACCAAGAAAAATTAATAGATTAAGTTTTTATACACTGCTAACGTAGAGGAATTTTTAAATTAGCAGGTGTAGATGTATGTCACATATGCAAGAAATGAATTTAAATATGAATTTAGATTATATGGTATATATCTATACTTGCTCATATATATACTGATAGTACATAAAAAATTTACCTAAAATTAATATGCCATTTAAAATTATAAAAAGATTGAAGTCTAACAATAAAACATGAATATTCTTATTTTACAAAACGTTATAAGAACTAAACACAAAATAACATTGTGACGATCCCACCTTTCCCTAGGGCGTACCCCGGGGTTTTGCGGACCGTCTGCCTAACTCTTGTCAGGATTCACTTTCTCAAGTTAAAAACACAAATCATAACTTCAAGAACAAGAGGAGCAGCAGTTTCCAACTAGAAATATATATACATATTTGGTTATCTCGAATATCCATACATACCCAAAATGCAACAAAGGATTCAAACTCTAGTTGAGATCCTAACACTAGATGAGCACTAGTGCTGTTAGAATTACAATAGCCAAAAGAACTAGACATAAATCTAACCTACCCCAGTCACATGAATATGCTTGCAACCCCTGCAAGGAAAACAAACTAATGAAATGAGCTAAAAGTCAGTGAGGTTCCAAGACACCATGCAAACCAAATAGCAAGTTGCCAATTATGTGTAATTAATTTAAAACTCAAAGTAAAAGGAAGTAAAAGTTCATAAAAGTAAGCATTAACACTTCAAGTAACCAGTCAATCAGGCAATTAACACTTTCATGTATAAGGATACAGTTTGCCCTTGCGAGCTGATTCGACAGCAGCTAGTCTTGGATTGGTTGACGCTCCGTCAACCCTAGAAGTACAGTAACAAGTCCAGTAGAGCACCACTTAACTCCCATCTTCATCAACCGATCAAACCCCCCTACCAAGCCTAAACTCCAACGATAATAGTGGTGGTAATACTCGAGTATACCGAATCCAGTGGATTACAACTAGAAAGAGTGGAGAAACAGTAAACAGCACCTATGGTTCGCCAATATCCTCGACCAAGCCCTTACCGGCTCGATTCGACCAACTAACCAATAGGGGTTTTGGGATACCAGGCAGTGATCAAGTCATACATATATACATCAATCCACTCGTAAACAGTGTACAATACTTTGTCAAATTAGGGCAAGTGCGATGATGTACACCTTGGCCCACTCAAACAAGTCAATTACCATCCCAATCACAATAAGAAAGTATTGTATTCAAATAGCAAGTCCGACCATGCAATTGGAGACACTCACCATGATTCACTATCAAAATCTGCGATTAAATATCGTATAGCAAAATGCAATCAAATAGGGTTTCAAAATGCACAACCTTCGCTTGTTAATACCAAAGGAAGATCATGAAAATAGAAATCATGACGCTTAGTAAACCATATGCAAGATATACGCATGCCCTTTTTGGAAGGAAAATGATTAAAACTTTCAAGTTTAAAACTAGATATATGTAACATGTTTAAAGTGACCAGTACTTCCTTCTTGTAAAATGTATAGTTTTGGCAAAATTTCAGCTTATATATCACAACCAAAGTAGGTTCAAGCATCCATAAGCAAACTAAGTCCAATTCAACCAAAAATCATACCTCCACTCTTACTTTCACTCACTTACATTACACAAGAAAGGAAACCGGCAGCAACTGCCCTATTTTTCCTTAAATTTCTCCTCCAATTTCAAAGCTTAATTTCATGGCAAAACAACCCTAACCAAGGCCACGAGTTATAAGACATAAAGGGTACTTGTTCTAGGCCACAAAAACTAACTAAATTGGGCATATACCTAGCTCATATACATCATATACCCAAGCTGAAAATTTAAACCCTAAACTGAAAATTGCAAAGCAAAGCTGGAAATTGATTACTGGTGCTAGAAAAATTGTATAACAAAACTAAAAGTGCATATTCAACTAGAAATATTTATATCAAAGCTCACAAGTCATATCAAAGCTAGAAGTTCTCATCTCAAGGCTGGAAAATTATAAATCAAAGCTGAAAAATTCAATCAACTTCGCAAAACCATGAAATCTTCCTCAAAACTTCCATAATCAAGTCATATATCCATTAAAATATAAGATAAGAAAGAGAAGGAAAGTTTCTTAACTTGATACCTTCAAACCCCAAAGAAAAAAATGCAAAACTAAAGCTTTCTTTCCCAAATCACTCCAATACAAGTCTTCTTGCTCCCTTGTTGCAACTTTCTTCAGATTAGATTTAGGTTTTAGGTTGGATTTCCCACAAAATCAAGCTAGGAATCAAGATGACAATAGAAGAAATTTCTCTCTTTTTTGCTCTCTATAGGTTCGGCCAAAAGGAAGAGGAAAACGAAAGCTTTTTAGTGAAAAATTTCAAATGGCCTAGAGTTGCGACAGTTGGCAGCATAGGATTTCATTCCTATCTCTTTGTCTTTTTTAGCCTCTAATTGCTAGTTTATGTCCTCTAATACACTCTTAACACTTCCAATCATATAATCCTTCTAACACTACACCCGTTCTTGTTCACCAAATTTATTATACACCTCACTAATTGATCATACTATCACAATGTACTACGAAACTTAACATGGACCAAATTGTAAAAGAAAAGATAAAACTCTCGACTCAATCATTAAAGTATTTACAAAATTAAGGCAAATAAATTAGTCTAATAGAAAATATAAATTAGTTTTTAGTTTTTTTAAATAAATAAGGAAAATTATAAGAAGAATATAAAATAATTTTCAAGTCCTCACATCTCTCCACCTTAAAAGAATTTCGACTGCGAAATTCATACATTTACTCGCAAATAATTCAGGATATTTCTCTTGCATATCCGCCTCTAACTCCCAGGTTGCCTCTTCTACCTCATGATATTTCCACAAAACTTTAACCAATGGAATTTGCTTATTTCTCAAGTCTTTCACCTTTCGATCTAGAAGCCGAATAGCTCGCTCCTCATAGGTTAGAGACTCGTCAAGTTCAATATCCTCTGGCTGAAGTATATGAGTCAGATCTAGGTGATCTTTCTTAAGCAAGGACATGTGAAAAACATTGTGAATTCAGGACAAACTTGCTTGTAACTCCAATCGATATGCCGCCTTTCCTACCTATTGGAATATATTGAAGGGACCTATGTATCTTGGTTGTAGTTTCTTTTCTTTTCCTGCCTTGATCCTTCCTTTCAATGGAGTGGTCTTAAGAAATACTTTGTCTCCAATTTCAAACTCCAAATCTTTTCTTCAATGGTCGGCATAACTCTTTTGTCGACTTTGGGTCGTGCCTTTGACGAATTACTTTTACCTTTTGGTATGCTTCCTCAACCCATGCTTACTTCATCCCAATGAATAGGTGAACGGAACTTTCGTCCATAGAGCGCCTCATATGGTGCCATTTGGATAGAAGCGTGATAATTGTTGTTGTAAGCAAACTCAACTAATGTCATATATTGGCCCCAACTTCCTCCAAAATCCATGATACATGATCTTAGCATATCCTCAAGGGTTTGAATAGTTCTCTCCGACTGTCCATCTGTTTGAGAATGATAGGTCGTGCTATAGTTCAACTTAATCCCTAAAGTCTCTTGTAACTTTTGCCAAAATCGAGATACGAATCGAGGATCCCTATCGGATACTATGCTTACTGGTACCCCATGCAATCTCACAATCTCATCTATATAGAGTTTGACAAGTTTCTCCAAAGAATACTTCATATTAACCGGCAAGAAATGTGCTGACTTAGTCAATCGATCCACTATCACCCAAACCGCATCATGACCTCCTTGAATTCGTGGCAAACCTGACATAAAATTCATTATAATATGTTCCTATTTCCACTCAGGTATTTCTAAAGGCTATAGAAATCTCGATGATTTTTGATATTCGGCTTTTACTTGTTGACAAGTACGACAATTTTGAACAAATTGGGCAATCTCTGATTTCATATTATCCCAATAATATAGTCCTTTGAGATTTTGGTACATCTTACCACTGTCAGGATACACCGTATGCCTAGATCAGTGAGGCTCTTCTGAGATTTTCCTTTTTAATTCTTCATCCCTTGGCACCACAATTCGTTTTCAAAATCGTAAAATTCCATCATGACCTAGATTGAAGTCGGGTAACTCTCCTTTTTGTACCTTCTCCAACCACTTTTGCACCGTTGGTTCTTTCTTTTGGCCCTCTTTAATACGATCCAACAATGTCGATTTCACCATAATATTCCCAAAGATATCCGTCTGTGGCTCGAGGTGGGGGTTCCATTCACTAACATCCTCTAACAGGTTCCATTCTCTTATCATTAAACCTGCTAGTTGAGCCTTCCGACTTAGGACATTCGCCGCTACATTGGTTTTTCCTGGATGGTAATTAATGGTACAATCATAATCTTCCAAAAACTCCATCAGCCGACACTGCCTCATGTTCAATTCCTTCTAGGAGAATAGATATTTAAGACTTTTATGGTTCGTATGCACCTCAAAAGTCACCCCATTCAAGTAACACTGCCATTTCTTCAAAGCAAACACTACAGCTGCGAGTTCTAAATCATGGGTCGGATAATTTTACTCATAAGATTTCAACTTCAGAGAGGCATAGGTAATTACGTTCCTATTTTGCATTAAAACACATCCCAAACCTTCTCTCAAAGCATCTATACATACTGTATAACTATCCTTACCATTTGGCAAAGTTGACACCGGTGCCCTAGTTAATCGCTTCTTAAGCTCTTGGAAACTAGTTTCACACTGAGTATCCCAAATAAATTTACCCTACTTCTTTGTCAAATTCATTAGAGACCCTACAATTCTTGAGAAATCTTTCATAAACCGACGGTAATACTCCGCTTGACCCAAGAAACTACGAATCTCAGTAGGATTTTTTGGTTGTTTCCACTTGGTAACAGTTTCAACTTTAGCCAGATCCATAGTGAGTACATCTTTTGAGATTATATGGCTTAGAAATGATATTTTCTCTAGTCAGAGCTCGCACTTATAAAATTTGGCGAATAGTTGATGCTCTCTTAAGGTTTGCAATACTATTCTCAAATGTCGCTCATGCTCCTCCTTAGTCTTAGAATAAACCAAGATATTATCAATGAATACCACTACAAACTGGTCCAAGTAGGATTTAAACACTTGATGCATTAAATCCATGAATGCTGTTAGGGCATTAGTTCATCCAAAAGGTATCACCGCAAACTCATAATGCCCATATCGAGTGTTAAAACAAGTCTTTTGCACATTCTCTTTTTTAATCCTTAGCTGATAATATTCTTGTCTAAGATCCAATTTAGAGAACACTACAGCCCCTTGTAATTGGTCAAATAATTAGTCAATATGGGGCAACGGATATTTATTCTTAACAGTCACCGCATTTAAACCCCGATAATCGATGCACAATCGTAAACTCCCATCTTTTTTCTTAACAAAGAGCATTGGAGCACACCAAGGTGATTCACTTTTGTGAGGATTCGTAAATTTACTTATTTTAAATTCCTATTACTAGCTTATTTAAATATTTAATTGCCCGTTTGCTCCGAATATTTTATTCCAACCTTTTTAGATCCGATTACGTGGAACTATGACTTATATATATTTTTAAAATGACTTGTTTCAAAAATTTAATTTTTGGAAGCCCGTTTAGTGAGAATAGTGAATACGCGTTTGGAGGCAATAATCGATTTGAGGGTACAGTGAGCTTGGAGAGTGAAGACTCATATATTAGTCTTAAAATAGTTATTTTTATGTTTAAGTACTCAAGTATTAGTTAGTAATACTATCGTTACAAGAATTTCTTAGAAATTTCGCTCTATCGCGCACAAATTGGAAGTACGCGTTTTCGCGCGCGCAATTAATCGATGGACTTTAGACCTTTATTTTTAGACTATTAAGAGTGAATAATAATAGTATCAATGGAAGTGCATTAGAGGTTTAGTGAACAAGTGAAACAAACCCGAGAGGAAACGAGCACGAAACGGGTGCGTGCGCGCGCGTACTATTCTTAGTTGACTTTCGGGGAAATTTGGGCCACAAATTCTTAAGCTTCCAAGAGAAGCTTTCCATCCACCACAACTCTCTCTTTCTCTCCCTCAAGCTACCGTCCAACCCCAAGGAGAAGAAGACCAAGTTTCTTCATCATTTCACCTCTCAATCTTGCACCAAATCCTCTCAAATTCATACCACAACTAGCAAATAACTTGGAGATCATCTTGGGCTAGGATAAGAGCTTCATTCTCATGGTTTTCTTGGAGCTCAAAGGGCCAAAAATTTCTGGTTTAAGATCATCTAGGAGGTAATGAAGATTCAACCCTTAAATCTTAGCTTTTGTAAGTTAAATTGCACTTGGGAGTTTATAGCTTCATGTGGGTACCTCTATATTGTTGCAAATCATGTGAGTGGACTCTATGAAATCCCACAATGGACTTGATGAACTGATGTGATGATATTGGGTGTTGTTTATGTTGATTTAGTGACTAAACTAGTGATTATAAGTTGAAAGGTGGAAAGAAAACTCAAAGGAAACAAAAGGAAAGAAGGGGCCGGTTCTGCCCTGCCTTTGTTGCGCCTCTTGGTGCAAATTTTTGTTGTCCAATTGACTTGATTTTGATGTACATATATTGTATAGGTTGTGTGGAAATTTTTCACCAAAAATCACTTGATTTGGTTGGGTAAATGTTTGGATTTCGAAAATTTTTCGTGGCTGGAAACGTGTCCAGAGTTGCTCTGGCAGCAAATTTCAAACGGCTATAACTCATTGCTCCGAAATCAAAATCGAGTGCCGTTTGTGGCATTAGAAACTAGACACTTTCAGTTTTCTAACGGTATAAAATGCATCCCCTGATTCCATTTGAGTGAACCGTACCAGCCTTTCAAATTCACCTGCCCTGTTTCTCGGTTGTGTTAGAAAACCTGTTATGAGCTGCAAATTTTTGCCTGAAAATGAGCTAGTTATGGACAGAATTTCAAAAAGATTTCTCCTGAGAAATTATAACCTTATGAATGTAGTTTCCAACGCCACCAATCACACTCAATTCCAAGTTGAATTGAGTGAATTGTGGCCGAATTGCGAAACTGTCTCAGTAATGGAAAACCCTCTTTTTGGCTAGTTGAATGCCTTAATTTGAATTGGGACAAGTTATGTTGAAATTCTTGGTGTGAACCACCTACCAAAAGTATCTTGGATGTTTATTAGACCTTGTCTTCATAAATGAACCATGTTTGAGGTGGTTTCATTGACCCAAAAGTTAGAAATGGGAAAATAAAGTACAAGGCATATTTGCCTTGAAAATTCTTGGAACTTTAGTGGCTTTGTTAACTGACTTTCCGTACGAATTTTTATATGAAATTTGACAGAGGAATAGAACTTATATGGTAGGGTAATACTACCAAATTTGGTGCCATTCCAAGTCCATTTCGATGCTTAACCAAAGTCTTAAAGTTCATGTTTTAAATCTGAAAAACCCTTGTCCAGTGAGGAATTTCAGCAAATTTGAGCTGCTATATCTTAGTGCTCAAAACTCCGATTCTTTTTCCGCTTGTTGCGTTTTAAACTTTGATTGTAACTCTAATTGATTTTCAAATTTCAAAGGCTAGTTCACATTCTGTGAATTTTGTCAAATTTCCAAAGTTAGCCAAAAACCAACCTTGAAACTGTCTTGGTATTCCAAAACCTCAACTTGAAGCCGAAATTTGAATGTCTTCCATTTGAAATTATGGAAAAGTGCCTTCTAGGAACTTTTAGTACTACTTTGGAAGTAGTTTCCAACGGTACCAAGTTTTCCAATTTTGGACTTTCAGAGAGTGATTTATGATTTTTCAAAAATTGCTTGTCAAATCTGAAATTTCTGAACTTAAAGGAAATTGAGTTTTTAGAACTCGCCATTTTTTTCCTTCGATATTACCAGGCCGTTTACACTTGATTTCAAAGATGAAAATCAGATTTTCTTCTATTATTAAAACCCCACTTTCGAGCCTCGATTTGCGAATAATTAAGGCTCATTTTCATGATTTCTTCTTAGATTGTACAAGAGTACAATCTTCCTCGATAATTAGGGGTTTTAAGCTATAATGTGTAATAGTTCATTATTAATTGTTCAGGCACTCAAGAGGACCTTCGAGAGGATCCCACGGTGGACGCTTGAACCTTCGAGTGGACATTTCTCACTTGTTTCTTATTTTACTTGGTGAGTTTCAAGTGTATACGAACTTGATACATGCTTAACTGTTATTAATGATTGGAGATTTTGAAAATGGAGTCGAGTGTGTACTTTACCGCACTCGTTCTCATTTGAAATGAATGACTCATGATTGAATTGATTGAAATGAAATGAATGGATCATGAATGACTTGATTGAAATGAAATGAATGATTGAATGTCATGAAATGGTATGATCGGTGGTAGATTCCCACTATCTGTAGAAAGACCTCCGGTGGGAATCTACCCTATGGCCATGTTCTATTCGGAGGAATAAAATAAAAATTGTCTCTCAGAGAGATGGCTGAGTGGTTGATAGCCCCGGTCTTGAAAACCGGTATAGTTTTGAACAAAGAACTATCGAGGGTTCGAATCCCTCTCTCTCCTTTTTTGCTCATTGAATAGATTTGTTTCTTTATTGGTTTTCTCGGACTGGTATCATAAATCAAAAAGAAGGGGGAATGGCTTGGCTATCCCACCGAGCCAAAAATAGATTATATAAATGAGTTGAAAAAAAAAGAATCTCTTCGACTCACAAATATTACATGGGGGACGTCCAAATGCATAGGCCGACCTTGGGACTCGAGCCGGCATGGGTTTGGTCGGGAACCTCGGTGAGCAATGAGAATAACATGATAAGCTTGATCTATTGGAGAGATCTTGCTTAGCATACTCGTGGAGTATCGCCTTATAAATAACGTGTGGGCCTGGTGCGGTGTACGGTGGACGGACATGAGAAATAAGTGGAGTTCTACGGATTGGAAATATCGACCCGGTTGACGGAGAGTCATCACGGGAAGGTATACGAATGAGATTGGCAAAGCAAGTGGAAATTAGCTCTTGAGAGCTACCATATCCTTGAATTGTTTCTGTTTAAATTTCACTTGAATTGTTAATTACTCGAATATTATTGTTTGACTTGTTAATTGGGATTGTTACTTGGACAACGTGCTTGCATGTGTGTTCTTGGCCTCACGAGCAATTGCTTACCCCATAGATTTTTTTTCCTTAACAGGCATGGACATGGAGTGAAACTCGGAGAAACCCTTTTGGATATACCTTTGTTTTAGGGTTCCAAATTTAATCGACTAGACTTTTGGCAGTTGTATATTTTGGAAAATTGATGTACGTTGGAACTCGTGGTGCAAGTTTGAATGTTTATTATTGAAGCGACTTATCTTTCTTACTTTATCTTGTCGTGATAACTAGTATTGTATTAAGTTTGAAC